GACGGGAGCTGAGTGGAGGTGATGGGTGGAAGAAATACCGGGTCTCCAGCTTGGATATGCCCATGGCGATAGAGATGGAGGAGAGGCTGTAAGAGATCGTACTAGATGTCAATCTGGGTCATATCACAACATTCGACAAGCTTACAATCAATTTCAACGTCTGGATCTCTGCGGCGAAATCACGTGTCGGGATGGTGATGTCCGAGTGAGGGGTTTCGAGCACGATCGAATCGACCGTATCGCTGGTTTGTGTCGCCAATGTGTGGGTCGCGCTTGAACAATCCGTGGTCGAAGGGTGAGGAGAGGCAATGGTAGAAGGGTTAGTCAATTGATCATCCCCTCGCTCGCTTCCGTGGGTGTCGATTCGCAAGCGAAGTGGTGCCCCTTTCTTCTTGCTGCCGATCATGACCACGTCGTCCTCTGGGGAATGATCGTCCTTGAGGGGCATCTCCATGACGTGGTTGGGGACGTTGATGGCTTGTCGGAATTCTTGGGTACGAGTGGGTGCGACTCGTCGGTTCAGCTCCCCTTCGACGATCCAGCCCAGGCCCAGTACGAGCCATCCTGCTGCGATGCCCATCCCCTCGACGTCCCTCACTGCCCTTTTGCCTTCTTTCCTCATAGCCCAGCCGTTGCCCACGAGATCGTATTTTCGGTCGACGGGTGATGTCATGGGTGGAGGAGCGATGTCGGGTGGCGTGCGTGAACTGTTTCCGAAGAACGTGCCTAAGAAGCGGGAAAATGCTGGAGGGGATATCGGCGAGAAAGGGGGTGAGGAGGGTTGAGCATGCATGCTGTCGTACTCGGGAGCCTTTTCCTTGCCTTTGCGTGATACGGACCGCTGGGCAGGATGTGTTTCGACGGAAGGTGTGGAAGCTGGCTGAGTGAATGCGGTTCCGCGAGTCAAGAGATTTCCGAGGGCGAGACAGGCCGCGGCCGATCGGTGAGGGGGTAAGGCTGCAGTCGTATACCTTTCGATCGCGAGTTCAGGTTGATGAGCGATGAGAGCGGCCTGGGAGGGGTGTGTCAGTACAAATCTCATCTCATTGAAGCATCGACTTCGAACTCACCTGCGCATCCCACATCAAGCTCTCCTCGTCTGCATCTTGGTCCTCGGCATTGGCCCCGTCTCCCCCACTAGCGTCTGCGTCATCGTCGTCGGTGGTATCGAGTTGCTTGTCAATATCGGCCTCGCTCGTTGTCACGCCGACGCCAAGACGGAAGAGTCTGGCCAAGTTTGCGAATGAAGCTTTGCGAAGGGGTGGTAGAGGGATTGATATCGGTGGTTTGAGCGGTGCTGTGGACATTGAAATATGGCGAGAATGTCACGACGATCTCGTTGGTGTGGAGATGGGTCTGAGTAGACCTGTTGGGAGAGGAATGCTAATGAGTGATCGATAAGTGGGAAGTGATTCTGTGGGAAGGCAGGCAAGGAGTCGTGCGTATAGAGACGTTCTCGAGAAAGTGAGATGAGGGGCCGGAGGGGGGGATACTTGATCGGAGTGACGCGGGATCAAAATAAGCAACCGAGGCGCTAGTCTGGACAGGGAGGCGGCAAGGAGAGAGGGTGGGGGCAGACAGGCTAATAAAGTCTCTCGAGACCTACCACTTCAACCATGCCGTCAATTGAAATTTATGCACGTTTGAGCACGCGACCATTCAAAGCCAATGAAACGTGAGGGGTGGATGCCAACGCTCAACGCCACAGAGCGTCAGAGGGTGAATGCATGACTATATGAACCACCCCGTCTCACTCGGAGTGATACCCTGAACGACTGGTGGTCAGGCGGGCTCTCTCTCTCTGACCGAGTAACCAAAGGTACGAGTACCGCGCCATGTATCTTCGGGTACCTATCCACCGTCATCTGCCAGCCCAGCCAGCCCAACCGTCGTCACGGATCACTTCACATGGTTAACACCCGAACCCTGGGCCATCAATAGCAACCTTGATTGGTCGAGACATCTCACACGACTAGCACAACTCACACGACTCAAAACTCGAATGGCTATACATAGTCGCTCATCCCATCGCTAAGCACATCAAGTATACATTCAACCGAGCATATCGTAAAGATATTGGTTATCCATCAGCCGACCTGAATCCCAGCTCATGATGCCCTTCCTCCCCCTCTCTGTGATCAACGTCCCCCCCTCGCTTCCGTCTCCCGTGAGAAAGCCATATCGTACAGTGCTGTCGCTTAATCAGTCCCACTCCTGAGGTGTGAGAACAATCCTCTCTTTCGGGTGTGCAGTCAACGGACAGTTCGGATCATCGCACAGCAAGCCGATGTCGAACGGTACAATCCGGTTCCCTTTTCTCTCCGGTATCGTCGCGCTAATTGCTTGACCTTGCAGTCAAGGTTTCCGCTCGCTAAATGACCCACATCATCTCAGGGACCGTGATACCTCGCCCAGAGGCGCTCGTCTTTTGTGGCGCTGGCGATGTGCAGTCTCGGCTTCGAGCGGTCCGGCGAGGGACACAGCGACGAGGCAATGGCAGCGCCCCGGCACTCAGGTACCCACGGTGCCTACAAGGGGTCGTCGGAACATTTTTCAGGTCTGACGCAAAGACCGAGCCATGGTGAGTGGTATTTTGGGACAGTACGGAGGGAATCCATGCGCCATGTCCGGTATAGACTCTCGCCGGCGTCCCTCACGAACACATAAGCGTGGATGACATTTAGCCCGCGGGTAGTCTCTCGATGACATAGCCCACGTGCGTTGCAGTTGAAGCGACGAATTCTCGAGCGGTCATCGAATATGAGAATGGTCGAGGGCATCCTCGACTTGCATGGCTGAAACTGCGTGAGGCAAGCTCTGCCCGCACCTTTCGACTGTGAACAGTATGATCGCCATGTGCAGCACTCTGCGAGCTACGTGGCTGGCGCTTTATTTCCTCTACCAAATCTAGCAGTACTTCTGCTTCCATTCCTCGATGACCTCGAGCCCGACATTACGCCCTCCACACACGACCAGGACGACTACCGAGTCCTGGTTGAACCCCTCGATGGCCTCTGCTAGTCTCCCCTCGTACGCCAGGGCAATTGTAGCCCCGCACGCAGGCTCGACCAGCATTCTTTCATCCTCTGCAAACCTCACACACGCGCGGCAAGCCTCTTCGTCACTGACCACGACGCTCCTCACATTCTCCTTCAGCCCCCATTCGAGAGCCTTGGGGGCGACAGTCGTTGCTCCCAGCGAGGTCGCTATGGAGATGATACCCGGCAGAGTGATCAACTTGCCAGCTTTGATCGCCTCGTGCAGCGATTCAGCGCCTTTAGTCTCCACGACCGCGATCCTCGTCTTGGTCCCCTGCAGTCCCTGAGCTATGCCGCAGAACAACCCACCCCCACCGACACTGCACACAACAGCGTCCGGCTCGGCTGACAGCTGCTGAATGACCTCTTGAGCGATTGTCGCATTACCGTTCCATACCTCCGGGTGGTCGAACGGAGGGACGTACACGCCGCCCTTGTCTTGCGGCAGGACTTGCTCTCGCAGGTACGTGTCCGCCTCGAACCACGTCGCCCCATGCTGGACCACCTCGGACGCTCCGGCCAACTTGATCTTCTCGATCATGTGCGGTTTCGTCGAGGACGGGACGATCACAGTGCTTGGGTACCCGAGCGTTTTGGCGGCTGTCACGCAGGCGAGACCGGCGTTGCCCCCCGACGACGAGTAGAAATGCGGGGTAGACGAGGTGTCCTGTCGCGATTTCAAGTGCGATAATAGCAGATTACCAACACCCCTGCGCTCGATCAGACCAGCATTGTGCTAGACTTTTGGAATGGAAAGGTGACTCACCGAGATTTGAAGGAGCCGCTCGGTTGGAGGTTCTCCAATTTAAGGTATATCCGGCTGCGACCATCAGCTGGACATGATTACGCATCAACCGTGATGAGCGATGGATCGAACGTTCCGAGAACACATACCATCCCGCGGCTTTGGACAATACCGCAGACTCGACCAACGGAGTCTCAAACCAAGGCAAGGGTAGCTGCTTGACACTGTCGCTCATGAGGATGGAAGAGAACGGAGAGTTAATGTCAAAACGCGCCATAAGCCGACTTTGACGCGTTTTAGTCCCCCCCTTCTGGAATCGTCTCAACGACCCCTATCCGGCAGTATTGTTACCGTAAATACCGTAAACGCCTCAGCCCCAAGCGATCGACATGCTTGGCTTATCGTATTCCGTGCATCATCGCCTCGCGTAGATATTGGTCACGAGAGGAACGCTTGCAGGCAGTTCCTATTGGGACTCAGAGCCTTGTCGCGGCGAGGATATGCGGTGATATTGTTCTCGCTGCGAATTATAGGGCAGTCATGAGCCACGCCCACATATCAGGCGGAGCGACACATGAACAGGCATGTCCCTCAACTTTTCAGCTGTGTTGAGGAGCACGTTCCAGGTCTGAATAACACGCCAGAGTGGGACTTTTCGCTTTCAAACAGCTCCTTCTCGCCCCAAGAACCTCCACGAGCACACATAAGCGTGACGGTTAAGTTGAATCCCCAGATCCGATTGGGCTACAATGCTATGCACTGTCCAAAACAGCAGTGTCGACCGGTCCCACATATCATACAGCGAATTTTGCCCTTATATATCGAAGGAGGGCGCAGTCCGCTCGCGCTACAACTGACCCGTCTGGAAAGCGACAACGAGTGGAACGTGCAAGCATTGCAGTCATACGAAGGTGAGGAGGGCGTTGGTGAATGCAACAATATACGCTGCAAGGCACAAGCGCAAACCTACGGCGTGACAGCTTGCACATAGAGCGCGCTTGGGAAAGCGAGCATCCGAGAGGCATGACGGGATAAAAAACAGCTTAGATTCGTCGTCGAATCCAGTCGATTCCCTACGCTCGGTCGACATGGGTTTCGCTACCTTCGCTCACCCCCGATCAATCTGTCTCGTACAGTGAATGCATAGTGGCTTTGAGAGAGACTGCGAGGCGAGCGGAAGACCGGTCGGATGCAGAAGGATGAAGCCAAAAAAAGAGGGGTTCCAACGGGACTCGAACCCGTGTCGGCCGCATCCATTACGTTTGTAACGGGTGTGCTTCAAACCCGAAGCGGCCATCTTACCCCTGGACCATGGAACCGTGTTTTTGACAGCGATGTTACGACTTCAATCGGGAACATGATATACAACACACTTATGGAGCACCTGCGACAAGAGTTCCAGAGATCTATCGCGCATCGAGCTGTCTTCTTCGAAGCAGCGATTCGGGCGACGACGCCGAGGCCGAGAAACTCGTCAAGAGAGCAGCGGGGCTTCTAGCTCCGTTCAGGGAGGGCTCTATGCGCTTCCTGGAACCGCGGCCCTTTTGGAAGGCGGAAGGTACCCACTACACGCTTTTCACCGTCCGACGACTTAACGGAAGTCGGGCCGCCTCACTTGAGCTGATCGATCTCACCGGGTCTGCCCGCTGCGCCCTTCGAGGGGCCTTTCGAACCCCCTCTCGCGCTCCCACTTCCTCTGAGCCAGGCGCAGGTCGTATGGCTTGGACCGCGGGGTGTTCGCATTGGTGTGGTTGGGGGCCGCTTTGTCCCTGACGACGACTCTGCGTTCACTGCTTATGTTCGTCTTCGTTCGTTGCCTGACGCGGCCATCGATAGGTTTCTTGAGCATCCGCTGTTGTGGGTGCTTCTTCTTCGTTCCCTTTCGTCGTCTTACGACGGGGGACGGGTTAACGCCCTCCTTCGGATAATGAAGGTCAGTAAAGGCTCTCTGGCCGGTTTCGTTTTGACGAACGCCCCAGAGTGGCGGGCTGAATTCATAATCTGTGTCCGAAACTCCTCTATCGCGTCACTCATCGATCGGTTCGAGGCCTCATCCGGGATCTTCCTGGATGACGCCAAAGAGCCATACGCGATCTCTATATGCCCGGGCAGCGCCTCCCCGCGGCTAAAATTCACTCTCGAAAACCTCCCCCTCGCCCGGGGTGGTTAAGGATCTGGTCAAAAAGTTCCAATGCAAGGTTGGAACTGCCGTGGAACCGACCGTGGTTGAGGCCTTCGCCTTATATGTCAACTGGAAACCATGGGACAGTTCGTCGGTGTCATGAAGCTGCGCTCATGACGCGACGGACTTCGCTCGCTCTCCGTCCACTCCTTCGCTCCGCATTAACGATTCTGGTATATGCATTAGCTCTGTCGTTCCCGCGCGAGAGACGACCTTCGGATCCGACCGACTTCGCCCAGCGACGCGCCGACGCGTCGCTCGATGGATAGAGGACAGGCGTTGGTTGATCGATGATCTACGTTGGTTGATGGCATAGGCTCGATCGGTTATGCACCATCATCCTGTGCTCATGGTTCCCATTCTATGAGCACATGCCTCACACCAAGTCGCGACCTCCGCCCGAGCTGGAGGAAGCTTTGTTTGATGGATTCGCGTTGTGGGAACTGGACCTGGTCTACCCATGCCCCCTGGACTATGTTCCAGCTGGATTAAAAATGCCAATGCCGTACCTCTTATTCTGGCGACATTTGAGGAACACAACGTCAAACACTCGAAATGTCGCTTCGGCGTATTTGTTCGTGGACCAGGGTCCGTCGCGGGTGATTCCAGGAGCCATCCCATAGTCCACCACTAGCGGTCGCCACGAATCGGAGAACCATGACCGTTGAATGTGGCGATCGAACAAGTCCCAAGCTTCATTGTTGTCACGTCACTCCGCTCGATGCGAGAGCTGCCGTGACCCCAAGGAGGTGCACTGAGGGGAGGAGGAAGATAAGCTGAAGAGCGAACGAAGTGCGCTCGACAGAGAAGGAAGGAGATCGGATTCTAAGGACATTAGGTCCTTGTCATATAGCTCGCGCAGCGGGGGGTTATGGCAGCACCAGGCTTTGTATGGTGAACAACCGAGGAGCGACGGCTGAGGCGAACGAGCTTCACGGCCTGCTCATGATTGACGATCGACCGAGATAAACGAAAGTTCGTCCTGGTGATCGAATCGCGTTTCCCACCGTTCGCGTAGCTTAGGATCCTCACCCATACGCAGTGAGGCAGAAAGGTTCTGCGTAGGTGATGCGGGCGAGCCGAGGTATACCGACGCGGGCGCTCATGACCGACACGACTTCCCTCTCTCCGGATCCCATCTCTCCCGACCGAGTTATCCTCCTTCTCGCATTCGCATCCTCGTCCTCGTCCTCATCCATGTCCCGATTGGGCTCCTGCCCAGTGCTGAGGTCTTCGGAGTCCCATGTACCCATACTCCAACTCTGATCGCTGTTCGGAGACCCCGTCTTTGGCACCGTTCGGCATGCTGAACTTCCCTTCATTTTGCTCCGAACGTAACCTAAGACCCGCTGGGAGGTGGTATCCCGTGCCGCAAACGGTGCCTCGCTTTCGAGAGAGCTGCGTCTGTCGGCGGCCAGCATGCATGAGCCGTTACATCGATATTTGGCCCGGAATACGACTGCGTCTGGGGATCTCCTGATAATATGAGGATCCACCCAGAGTCTGAGCAACCGAGCTTCCGAAGCGGTGCGGGCCAGTTTTTGACGATTGGTGTGATTTTGATGGGGAGACGGGGACCGACCAGGAGCCTGTTCCGCTTGTTCTGGTTGCAATGTCCCGGATCGCCGTATGGGTCAGAGTTACCCAGTCGAGCGCAGCGGGCGATGTAGGAGACGGGGAAACCTGCCAGTGGTGGTCGATGATCGTGACGGAAACACCGACAGCCCGATGTCTTGGAGTACCGCCGATCGCTTCCAGAGAGAATCAAGCTAGCCTCTACGACGGGCGCGAGGGACTGCAAGTGCTTGTGGGCGATCCGATGGGGTTGAGACTGACCGCTGACGCGTCCAGCGAGGGTGCGGTGATCGACCCCTTTTCTCGAGCGATCGCCCATATGGTTGCTTGATTGTCGGTGGACATGTGTTGCTGGGCGTGGTAAGACTCGATAGTCTTGCGTTGACGCTCCTCCTTGGCTTGCATGAGGGCGATGTACCACAGGCGAAGTGCGGTGAACGATCAACACGTACGCGAAGAGTGAAGTCGCGGAAGGAGGGAGAAATGGGGTCATAGTGAGGTGTGGGTCAAAGCCCCGGGAGCGACGTTACATATATAGATTCCGCCAGGAAGGTCGAACGCTCCCGCTCAGAGTGTTGCGGTATCTCGGATATCGGTTGGGGCAATGGTGCGGTGGCAAACGGAACAATCACTCGGATCGGTTGCGAATGCGTGCGCATGGGCTCAATCCAGCATATCGCTCCGAGCCCGGGGGGTGCGAGGCGGTACGAGGGTGGTGTGAGGGCGGGGATGTTCCGTATTGCACGGAAAGAGTCGGTTCAGCGGAGTGATTCTGGAAGAAGACTGGGAGATCCAGAAGACACGGGGGGTGAGGTATTTATAGGGAAGAGGGGGTGGGTCCGATGTCGAGGTTTTTGGGACGGCGTCGTGGCTTGCGTGGTGGTTTGGGGAGATATTTAGGGTGGGGGAGTTGGTCTGTGTGTCGATCAATCACCACGCCGCCTAGATCTCCCGAATCGTTGTGTGCCCCAACACAGAGTCACCCTGTTTCAGACTTTGTGGGGAGGGAAAGGAGGGGCGATCTGTCTCAAGTTGACGTATCGATGATGATCTGCAGTTGTGAGTCGTGTTTCGCGAACTGTCAGTCGGGAGTCGTTTGCCACGATTCGTTGATCATCAGCAATCGCGTCGGTCAATCGTAAGGTGACCATCACAGAGTCGCTTGGAACACATCACGCTGCAACCCAGACGAAGTGTTTCGGGATACCAGTAGGCCTGATGCCCGAGACCCCGAGATCCCGAGACCTGACTCCCATCATGAGGTATTTGATGTTGGGGCACAGCCGAGTGCGTCAGCCACAAGGTCAATGCGCTTGATCGAATGGCTACAAGGGCAAGATGTGAGCATGCACTCAGAAGGTACTCCCCAGGCAGAATCCAGCTACTCGACGTTGAGACCGAGTCGGGTCGCACCAACTTATCGATGGATGCCCAAAGTAAGAGAGAAGGCAGAATCGAAGAAAGCATGCTTCACAACGCGCCGTAGTTGTCGCAAAGCCTTTGTTTGGGATCCGAATGCCGAGTAACATTTCGACATCTTAACCAGTGGCGACGATTTATCATTTTAGCCGTAGTGCAGCCGTACGTACCTGCTGAGGATTTCGATTGAAATCGTTTTCTTCAAATATTGCTACAACTCGCACTGTTGCTCTCGATCAATACATCATGTCGTGCGGAGATGCTGCTGACGGAGTAGACGGAGTAGACGGAAAGAAGGCAGAGGCTGTTATGCCGAGTAAGCCGCCCCTTCCCACTCTTGCATCGTCCGGGCTGACAGCTCAGAGAAACGGACTGTGCGGCGGATCGAGAAGGGCACTTGTCAACGATGTCGGGAGTCCAAGGCCAAGTTTATCATCCGTTCCGCTCCATACTGCACGTGAGTTGGGACCTGCGTGGGACATAAACCTAGACCTGTACTTACCGTAGCCCCTGCTTCGAGCTCAACGTCTTCTCCCGGTTCACACGGCAGCTGTACCCACCCCTCCACCCCCCTCAACCTGCCTCGTCGACGAAAAAGCACAATAGCAACAACACGCTTTATCGCCCGGCCAGGCGCTCGTCCAACGTGCTCATCGCGATGAGCGGCGGGGCAGGCAGCATCGCCATGTATGACATGCTGTCCCGAGGCGGGTACGTCGGCACCGGTGAGGAGACCAAGGTGGCCGATATCACCAAAGGGGAAAAGGAGATCATTTGGGAGAAGGGATATGTCGTATACGTGGACTTTTCCGGGGCATTGAGAGCTGGGACGGGTGGGGAGGAGGCGGATGTGGAGTGGATGCGGCGGCTGGTCGAGGACCGAGGGATGGTCTTTGTCGCTTTGCGAGCAGAGGACGCGTTCGATCCGTCACTGGCAGAGCGGCTCGGAGGTGTGCGAGCCACGAATGAAGACCAAGCACTGGCGATAGACCTCAGAGCTGCAGGTATGTTTTCGGTGTATGACACCATATGCTTCTCGCTGACCGTCAGGCCTCCCCGTCCACCCAATCGCCTCGACCTCCACCACGTCTAGCCCTCTTGACAAACTCCAAACCCTCCTCGCATCCGTGCCCCCACCTTCCC